TTCCAAATGTTGCGGTTTCTCTTGCCATTCTAGAACACTGAACTGCCTCTCCTAAAGCTTAGTTCCTGGCAGAACAATATGCCAGTACGTTTCGTATTTTAGCCATTGGAATGTGGCCCCAGAAAAGTTATCTGAACTGGAATTCAGTCCCTGGTTCTGCACCTCTGCCCTACGTTCTATATTTAGAGAGCACACAAGCCACAACATCCTGCTTCTTGTCTAGTCATGGTTGGAACACTAACGCTGAAAAAATGATGGCACAGTGAGCCATCCTTTGAATTTGGCAGCGACCCTCCACTGCCCTTGGGATTCTCCTTGCAGTATTCCTGACACAGTTCTGTACAACCTCACATTTAATGTCCTGGAGCAAAGCATACAGGAAACCCTAAAAACCTCAGGGAAAAGGTTGAACTTGCCGACCAACTCAAGTGGAACTTACAGGCTCATACACATCCCTGTCTGGGTTGACACGCATGTGTGTGTGGGTGTGGGTGTCATCCTGGCCTCCCCATGAACACTTGTGTCTCAAACAGGTGTGGAGTTGCTGATCTTAGAATTAAACTGGTTAAGGGGCGTCTTATCGAGTTCTAGTCTGGTCATGGAATTAAGCTGTGTAGCAAAGCACATCATCCCATGAGGAAAATGCAACTGACTGTCCAAAGAGAGTAGAGTCACGGTCGCTGGTGTTACGGTAAAATTCTGAAGTGCTGGGAAACATCACTACAGTCCCCACAGTCACACACACACGCAGAGTCCCGAAATGTTGGCTGCGGGTCTTTGGTAAAGGTTCTGAGCCTTAAACTGCCAGTTCCAGACTGAATGACCCCAAATACTTTGCGCTACCACAGAGAACACCAATTTCCTGCTAACTAAAATGCCGGTGCTGCATCTCCAAAAGTTCTGCTCCTGCACTTGCATTTATTCCTCATGGTACCCGGGCATTAAAATGTGGGACACAAGTGTCTTCCATGCTGGTGAGGCAGTTATAGTAAGAGCACGATCCAATCACACTTCACAGCGAGTAAGTTGCACTAAACCCTGAGAAACCCTTCCTCAAAACTGCTCTGCACTGTTCAGGTCAAAGTGGCACCCCCCGAATCAGCACCTGAAGTACCTACATGGAAGGGGGGGTTCCTGAGGGTCCCCAGCAAGACACCCTCCATGGGCCCCCATGCTCAGGGTGGCCACCTCCTGACCGCAGTTCTTCCCAGCTGTTCTTGCTCCTCCTCCCGCTTTCCATCATTACTACTGAGTTGCTTAACAGGGCCGGGGCACCTGCTGCTGCTGCTCCTCACTACCTGCGTCAGGTGAGAAGCAGGTAAACCAGCCAGCGGGAAGGGTGCAGAGGAAGAGCAAGTCAAGCACACTTTTGGCAGGCCGTCAGCGACTGCCCAGACGCGCCTACCCTTCACGGCGGCCCTGGCATGGAGCAACCTGTTCTAGCTCACTCAATTCCCCCTCTCCGTTCCTTTTAAGTAGCCGGTGCCGCTCTGCAGGTAGGTTGGGTGACCTTCTGTGTGGCAGTGCCGAAATTGCTGTCTCCATCCTTCCCAGAGATTAGGCGGGTCTTTACATACCATCTGGTTTGGCAATTTCAGTGGTTCCTGCCTTGGATCATTTAAGTGACTTACGAACATTGTTTCTCAACCTGTTGTTATGCTAGTCTTTCTCCATATTCTACTAGCAAGATAGTATTGACTTTTTACAGCTCTTTTATGGTGAAGATTTTAAACCAGATTGTTGGCGAATGAGTGTATGCAGGGACTCAGCAGGTGGCTGCATATGGCATATTCTGGAGTGGGACAGGAATGGTTGCCCCAAACCCTAAGCAGGAGAAAACGATACCTAAGTATCTTTTTGCAAATGTCCCTTGTGAAATAACTGAAAAGCGGGGAATAAAATTGAGCTGCACTGACCTACACAAGTGGGAGCAGAGGGTCCAGGCTCCATTCGCACACCGGCTTGTGCTTTCGGAGCTATTTAAAAACCGGTGGAACTTGTGCCTTGCTTATCTGCCATCATCTGGCATTGGGCGAGGGGAAGCCGCTGCACAGCCAAGAACAGAACATGTACTGGTTACCACAGCTAGATTTCCAATGCTCCCGAACCAGGCACTCTAAATTGCTTCAGGGTTTTTCTTGAGTCGGGAGCCAAAGCTCAGCTGGACCGTGCTTCAAAAGGATGTGCAGCCTGGACGGCAATCTTGCAGATTGTCTGGATTCAACAAGATTGCAGTCTGGACGCCGTGCATCTTTCACAAATTGGTTCAATAGTCTTTTTAGCTGGGAGGGATGGACTAAAGACCATGGGTTTTTTCCTCTGTTATTTAGGAAAGGAGCAGCAAAAGGGGTGGGGTAAAAATCCGGAGTGCTTTGAAGACGTACTGCTGTTTGCTTGCTTAAAGAAAGCCTTAGAGGAAGGCTGCTCATCTGCTGCTCTGGCTTTCCCAAGGAAAGACTAGGATACAAGAATAAATAAAAGCCTATCGCAGCATCTTTTAATCTTGTTTATTTTTAATATTCAGAATGGAGGAATGCACTGGATATCTCGCCCAATCTTCTAAAGAGACAAAGATAAGAGAGGAATGAATAAAATTTCACGTCTAACCTTTTAATCGTACCTCTGCAGCCATGAGGACTAGCATCCTGCTTCTTCTTTTAATGTCCAGCTTTTCCTGAAATGATGAATCTACTGGATATCCCACAAAATCATCTTAACAGGTTTAAAGATACTCATTAATATGTAATATAATGTGGACACCTGAGGCTACCTGCATGTATGCTCCGGCAGCTCAGCTCTTAGGTATCCACTACATAATTAGTATTTTTGCCCATGGTCCTGTTCTAATTCATGGACTATGTAAGAAAGGGGAAAAGAATGCACCAAAGCAAAAAATACCTATGGTCCAAGGGAACCCATATTTCTGTATGCTTTCTGCATACCGCAGGGAAAAAGGACGCAAGTTTGCATGCCTCACATTCATGCTTACTTAGTTTGGCTATTCCAGACTTACAAGAAGAGGAGTACAGAATCCCAACTTTTGCAAAAATATATATATATACCTCCTCCCACCCACCCCACACACATAGATGCCAACAGGGAGTGGCCAGACCTTACAGACCAAGTACTTATTTTCATGTAGACAATTCCTGGTTCAGTCCCCAGTTCCTTTCAGCCAACAGGCAATTATAAACACACTTTTCTGCCCAAGACCCCTGGAAAGTCACTGCCAGGCAGAATGGAGCATCCTCGGCTAGATGGACAATCATTTGATCTAGTAAAAGGCAGGCTCCTGCATTCAACTATGCATCAAGGAACAGGAAATAAGCAGGCCAGCACAGGTATGTTACCCCTGCTAATTCTATACTCTGGATTTCTGCAAAATCCTGGCATACATGCAGTCCCAGCTACTGATCTAATCAGAGCATACTTCCAAATTTAAAAAGCAGGATATGGCTGAAATCCTATGCACATTTACCCAAGAGTACACTCCTAAGTACAGTGAAATCTACTTCAAAGTAACCATGCACACAATTGCGCAGGGGGTGTATTGCACTCATTATGTAACAACCCTCTTACACAAACTTTTGTTCCACAGAGATGGCAAATACTTCCCATTACTGAGAGCCAACTGTTCAAATGTTTAGGTGCCAACTTACACAGTATTAAAGAAACATGTGCTGTTTCTAGGGGCAAACAGCATCATACTTCTAGCTACCTCTGTAACTAGATTTCAGAAAAAAATACTATCATGCCTGCAGCTCTGCTCAGAAACGGCACTAATTTATTCCTTAGTGGTTCAGGCAACAAAACACTCCCCAAAACAGTATCAATTTGCAGAATGATTTAGTCTGGAAAGCAAACTTCACAGCTCATTACAATCTTTGTTAGAACAAAGTAATCTACACCTAAGAAGAGCTGGCTTTATCCTACCATCTAGCCTCTCTAACAGGCCTAGGTATGCCTCCTTACAAACACTTACACTATTACACTAGTTTGTAATCATTAGTCAGTTAGTAATCGCCTACAGTGAGTAAAAACTAAGAGCAGGTGGGAAAACAAGGGGAACACCTCTTCCATCAGCCTGATGGCGAACCACAAACTGATAACTGGAATACATGTTGATAAACTACCTACTAAAGTTTTTGTGAGCTAGAATTTTTGTACAGATCTATTTACAAGACTGACGAAAGAGTTCAGAGGATGTCTTAGGCACCTGCCTCTGGCTGTACTGATCTCTTAGAATCACAATGGAGCTTCCCTACCCACAAGGGAACGTCTATGATTTCACAGAATTCATAGATTATCAATGATAAGCTAATTCAGCATGTACCAAGATAAATTACTTGCGAAGACAGCACTGTCCAAAACACAGGGGGGGCTGAATTCAGACTTGCAAACTCTTAGAAGAGTTCAGGCTTAGAAGACCCCTGAGATCCACCAACCAAACACAGGAGGGAGGCTTAGGAGATATATGCAGGACAAGTCTCTCCTTACCCATCCCAACCAGCCATGCTATGGCATCACATTCAAATCTCCGTCTGAGTTGCTGCAGGTCAAGAATTTTAAAGGGCTGTTTTGGGGGATTAAAGTTGGTGTTTAGCTAATAATTGTTATACCATTGGTAGTTTTAAAAAGCCCTTATCCATCCAGTGATCGGAGAGACTGGGTAATGTAGAGGTTAAGCGTGTTGGACTGGGAAGATTCAGGTTCTAGTCTCCACTTGGCCACAAGGTTCACTGTATGGTCCTGAGGCAGTCATGTACCCTCAGCGTAATTTATCTCACAGAGCTGTTGCGGAGATAAAATGGAAAGGGGAAGGATCACGTACACCACCTGGGTTCCTTGCAAAAGGCAAAAAGACAGGATAGGTATGCAATAAAATATATAAAATAAAACCAGCCATCAATCTATCTTCCAACTATGGCTGTGCTAAGTCAAGGATGACAACTGCACAGGCACACATGAATTTGGAACCCTAGGAGACAAAGGAGCCTTACCAGTTTCCCTTCTCTGCCATCCTTCCTGTGCCCCAGGAATTCCATGGAAGAGCCGCTGCCCCCTGCTCTGCTCTCAGCGATGCCTGGAGACAAGGAGTAGAATGGCGGGCTCGGGCTGGGCGGCAGCCCCGAATCTGGGCTATCCAGCAAGCCTTCCCGGTTCTTCTCTTTTAGGCTGTCTTCCATGCCTTGCAGCTGCAGGTGACCCACCATGACTGAGCGGGGAGGGGAGGGCAAAGGCTGCCAAGCTGAGGGAGACCCCCCTTCTCTCGCAGGGAGGCGCACAGCCGCGGAGCATGCAGAGGCCTCTCCAGTGGGCTCCCTCCACTCCGCGTGTCTCGGGGCGGGATCCTGTCGCTCCAGCTGGCCCTGTTGGGAGAACCAGAGAGGGCACGTATAAAGACCTCTCCCGTCCTGTGGTGGAGTCCAAGGCTCACAGGGGGACACGGTGCCAACACCATTTACTAGCAGGGAAACCGAGGTCATCCGAAACCACAAACGCCCTTCAGACTTTCCTGCCCCCTCTGAGCGTGGCTGCAATCTTCACAGTAGCTGAGAGGGAAATGAATTTTTGCAGCAATATTTCATTCTCTGTTGCAATGCACTTTGGGGTGCCTTAACTTTCAGTTAAGATGTATGTTCACTGTGTCCCTGTTTGCAAATCATGCAAAGATGTCCTGTTTCCAACTCGAAAGGTGAAAAAACAAGAACATTTTTTTCGGGAAGTGTTTGCAATTTCCTGAACTTATGTTCTCATCCAACAATATACATATGTGCAAATGCATACTTTCCCCAAAACTCTGTATTTCCGACCATTTCATATTTTTGAAAATACATTTCTACAATTGGAAAAAATGCACACTTTAAAAATATACTTTTTCCTGTTTTAGGAAATAAAAAGATGCACAGATTTAGAAACACAGAAGAGGAGAAGCAAGCTTCCTGGGAGGATTTGGAGAACCTCAATAAACTCAAAAATTGCATGTCTGCCTATTCTTAACTAAGATCCAATAGTTAACCAAAGCTCCGTTCCAGCTGGAGATGAACAATGCTTCAACAATGTTGATATGCATTCACATAGCTGCAAGAATTGTTGGACTTTCCTTGGAGGCGTGGCTCTGATGAGCACCTGCACTGCAAAATTTCCCACCATCTCTCTCCCCAGCAAAACTACACTGAGCAAAGAAGAGAACGCAGAAGGAATGCGGGTTAATAGCTCAGGGAACAACATGCTAAACAATCCTTAGAGAGGTAGGAAAGACCCTTGAACTGTCAGCTGATCTAAATCCAGGTAAGCCACCTACTGCCTTCCAGCAATTCTGGAGCACAACTCCCATAAGCCCCAGCCAGTGGCAAGGGATTCTGGAAGTTTATAATTCAAATTGCCTGGTAGGTAGCACCTGAGCTACCTACCAGGCAGCTTCCTCACAACCAAGGCAGCTTCCTCACAAACTTCTAGAGAGAGGAAGGTAGAAAAAGCACGTGGTCTGCCAGCAGAAAATCCCAAGAGCCCTGGGATTACAGAAAGATGCTGTACTTTGGAATAAATAATACTGAATTAGATGGACAAATGGTATAGTCTCCTACACGGCAGTTTCCAAATGCAAGAGTTTCAGGGACAGATTTTAGACTGCAGCCAGAAAGAGTAGAAAAGCTGCAAGGAAAGTGGGATGGATTTTCATTCATACACTAACTGCAATCAGCACAAGCTAAATATATGATTTTTTAAAAGATCACTTTTGCAATATTTTATTCAAACTATTGCTGTCCCCTACCTTTGGAATATTTTACTGAGAAGCAAGAAAATGCAAGTTTGCTTTAAAATGTAAACTACCTTGGTAAAGATACAGACTGAGAGCTACATGACTGTGTTAAAAAACAACATTATTAATTTCTTTATTGAGCACTTGCAAGGCAACTGAATATATAGGTACTTGGAAGTTAAAAACGCGTAAGGCTGGGATTTAATGGTGCAACCCTCCACTGGTCGACCCATAAGGAAGCCCTGCAGAACTGGCTGGAATGTACTCTCAAGGCCTCTTACCCTAAACATGCAAAAAATGCAGGTCACACCATACTGCTTAGCACAGGACTGAGGGAATCCAGTTTCAAGTTGCCACCAAGCCATGGTGTTCATTGGGTAACAGCCTCTTTCAGCCTAGTCTACCTTTCTGGGTTGTTGTGAAGATAAAAAAGAGGGTGCGGGGATACCAAATATGCTGCGTTGCACTGTTTGGGGTAAGGATGAATAAAACTACAAAGCAAAGGAATAAAACAATGATGCCATAAATGTTATCCTACCCACCGGCCCCTCTTTATATTAAGAGCCTAACCCCATGCCTGTTCATTCAGAATACACCATGAAGCCACACTTGCTTTTGAGAAAATACTTCTGGGATTTCAGCTTTAAAACTACAAATCATCTTCCAAGGACAGAGAAAGTGGCTCTTCTAAATTCTGCATTAAAGCGCCTTTGATGAAGAAAACCTTAACAATTAATTAGTTTGTTTGGCACAGCCAAAAAACTACCGAACCCTTTAAACAAACCAAGTATGTTAGCACTTGACTCTAATACGGGTAAAAAAAGAAACTGGACTAAAAGGCTGCGGTGGGTGTGAGCGAGGAAGCTGAAACATATTTCTAAAGAAGGGGGACCGATGGAGGAGGTTGATTTATGCGCCCCTCCTTAAACCACGTTCGTAACCTTTCGCATGAACCAAAGAACCTCATCAGGCCCCAAAAGGTGAACAGATCCGACTGGAAGGAGGCAGTCTTTCCCCCAATAAGGGAGCAGAGTTTATAGGACGATCCCCACCCCCCCCGAAAAAAAACCCCTTAGTGGAGTGGAGATCGCAAAGGCCCTTTCTCTGCCCCCGCGCTTCAGCCAAACCTCCCCAAAGCGACAGCCCGCTGCGTCGGCACTGGGGCGCAGGGCTCTCTCCGCCCGCCCGCCCGCCAGCACCCGTGCCGAGGGCGCGGGGCCCCCCACGCTTGCCGAGGCGCAGAGGGGGGCTGCACCAGGAGGGCCTCCGGGGCCTCCCGTCCTCCCCCCACCCTTCCCGAAAGCCCCCTCGGAGAGGAGCGCACCGACGGCCTCCGGCAGCAGCCGCGCTCCTGCGGGAGGGAGCGCGCCAGGACACGCCGCTCGCTCCTCGCCGCCCCACGCCGCCCGCACGGCCACGGCTCCCCCCGCGGAGCCGCCCCTCCCGCCGGCCCCCTCGGAGCCACGGGCGCCCCCCACTCGCCGGAGCCCCTCCGGCGGGGACGCAGGGGCGGCACGCTTTCCGGAGAAGGGCGTGCGCGAGGGGCTCCTCGGCGCCCTTCCCCACGCCGGGGGCCGCATTCCTGCCGCCGCCCGCTCCGCTCGCGAGGGGATCGAGCCGCCGCAGCCCCGAGAGAGCCCGAGGCGGCCTCTGCAAGGAGCGAGCGCGGCGGCGGCGGGGGGGGGCGCGCTCGCAACGGCGGAGCGGGCCGAGGGGCGGCGGCGGCGACCCGGGCGAGCCCCCCACCGAGAGCGGCCGTTTACGTTTAGGCGAGCGAGCCTCGCGTGGCTCCGGCGGGCGCCGCCTCGCTCCCAGGTCGCGCTGGGCTGCGGCGCTCCCGGCTGGCTTCGGGCAGCAGCGGCGCCGCGAGCGGCCGGAGCGCGCTGTTCGCTGACACGGCGGCGGGCTGGGTTCCTCCTGCTGCCGCTGCCGTCTGGATTCGCTCCGCTCCGGCCGCCAGGGACAGCCTTGCCCGGCCCCCCAGCCAGACCCCTCCCACTCGCACGGAGCCAGCCCCGCTGGCGCGCGCCGAGCCCCGGCCTGCAGGCGGCCGCGGGGGCTCCGCCGCCCCCGCCAGCCCGCAGCCCCCTCTCCTCTCCTCCCCTCTGCCCTGCCCTGCCCTGCCCTGCCCACCCCCTTCGCCCCTCTCCACTTCTTCACGGTGCCCCCCGCCCAGCGTATGTACTGGTTTTACAGCTGTGTGCGCAAAGCCCCCGCCCCCGCCCGGGGACGCCCGCCTGGCACAGCCATTCCAAGAAAAGGCTTGGTCATAAGCAACAGCGAAGCGTTTTGTGACACCTTACAAAGGAGAGCATCGAGGAAGCACCTTTAGATAGAAAAAAGGCTTACAACCCCCAACATGCTGGGAGTTAAAGGTCTTTCCCCCCCTTCTTAAAGGAGGTTAGGATTGCTCCCATATTCTGGAATATAAACTTTCGTGGACTGCAGCCCACTAAATCGGAGAGGTTAAGGTTGACATACTCCATTCACGAGTTGCCAGAGGAGCGAGAGAAGAAGTAAAAGTCTGTTCAGAAGGAATTTACATGCCAAAGTACCGCCCCTGCCAATCATGCAGCGAACAGTAAAAACAGCAAAGACCCTTGTGGCACCTTAAAGACTAACCAGTTTATTCTGGCGTAAGCTTTTGTGGACACTGCCCTTTCCATCCAATGCACGACGTGTTGAACTCCAAAAGGCAGGTCTATAAACCTGGTTCCTCTGACTGAACGGACAGTGCCTGCAAAGTGGACGTCAAAATAACTTGGTCTGCGAGCTCCCGCAGGATTTGGTTGTTTTGCTGCAAAAGGCTAACATGCCCCCCGCCCCGGAAATTGATAACAGTGGCCCACAGCTAATGCCTCCCTGGCAGCACCCATAATCCCCAAGGCTGGCTGCATTCGTGTGGCACCTGAGGTTAAAATCGGTCCCACCCAGCCAAATTAACATCCCCCCGCCCCCCAAATTACCTGCCTCACAGGTAACCCATGAGCCGTGAGCAAATGTGGTACTCAACAGGAAGAACGGTTGCCTACACCTGATCGAGCGGAAGCCTGCTTGACCCAGAAGAGGTAATTGTGCATGTTTTCGACAGCGATAATTCCAAGCCATCCAAAGTCTTCGGGATCAATCCGGCTGAATAAACAACTCATCACCGGGCGAGGACAAGGGATTCCATAAGTTCATGTTTCTCCCTCCGTCAGTTCCAGGCCCCATCCCATCACTGTTGGTGGGACTCAAGCTCCTGCTTAACCTCACCCAGACGCAGGCCCAATTCCGTTAAGCCTGTCCCAGATTTCAACCACCCACCCATGAGGAAGCTCAGCAGCGATTCCGGGGTTGTTAAAAGAGGCCCAGTTGCCAGTAAAAGTGCACTTGATGACATTTATGGAGGTCCGGGTCAAAGCCGAGGCAGCGGTGCCTGCATCCCACCCTCTGCAGCGATGAAGTGCCTTACACAAATTAACTCGGGTGATTTGTATGCAAGGAGCAGTGCCGAAAAGTTTGGCAGATTTATAAATGTCAAAGAGCCAGCCCACACAATAACCTCAGTGAATTATTACGACTGACCCCGCTGGTCGGATTTTGAGTCGGCTACTGTAAAGAGATGTCATCGTGTGGGCAGAGGACAAAATATATCAGTGCAGCGACTGATGGGTCGCAAGTGCTACCGATGAAGGCCAGCACTTGCCACATGCAAGGTCCTTCGCAATCTGCTTGGAACGGGACTGCTGTCTTTTAGGACCCAGGACGAGTCCCAGTGTGTCAGGATCCTGGGTCAAGTCCATCACCATTCCCTGCCTTGGCTGACGAGACGCCTCCAGGCGCCCCAAAGCAGGTTTCCTTCCACTCCACTGGCAAGGTGCTGCTCAAGATGTGGTCCAAGGCCCTACATCCCAGGATTGCTCAAATGACCACCCAGCGCCTGGCAGCGGATGGGACACTGAGAAGCAGCACCTGGCTGGCGCTGGGAGGACCCGCTGGGGCAGAGGCCAGCTGCTGCAGGATCCTTTACTTCATACTCTAGTGGGCACATTACATGCATCCTCCCTTTTCATGATTTCTCTCTTTGCGATGAAGCTGTTTCCAGCCCCATGTAAATCGTCCCCTCCAGCAGAACTCCAACCCAACAGACTCCAGCTGGAAGGCCCTGCCAGAAAACCACACTGCAAGTGCTACCTCACTGGGGGCGGCCGGGCAAGGAGTGGCCCCTCCCCAGACCCCCCAGCCCTTCTAGAAGGAGCCACCCCCCAGCAGAGACCCTCTGATGCCACCGGCTCCTTGCTCCCTGGCTCTCAGCCTGCCAGCCAGGGATGTGGCAGCAGTGACGGAATGGGGCAACCGTGCACAATCCTTGACCTCGCAACGCGGATGAGGGATCGAGCCACGAGCGAGTGTGGCTGAATGAAGCCATCTCCTCAAAGAGGCGTCGACGACGTTGCAGGCCACGACTACAGCAGCTGGAACGGCAGTAGGTGCAATTAAAGCTGTGTGTGAAATGTTTGACAAACGGCTGCCTGGAGAATTCTCCAGCTTTCATCAAGCTGCATCTCTACATGCACGGCCTCTTGCTGCCAGCAGAGTGAGAATTTCTGGGGGGAATCTGAAGTTTCTCACCACGGTTTTCTGGCAGCTGATGTGCCAGCCATCGGGGTGGGGGTCTGGCAGGCAGAGGAGAGAGACAAAGAAGAAACTCGACAACCTCCGTGTCTTCAGAGAACTTTGGAAACCTCAAGCGATTCATTGAGGCAGGCCGGTAGTATTTGGCCAAGCGATCCAGGATCAACAAATGGGGTGTTTTCATATTCTCGGCTGGGTCTGTGTGCTTGCTGACACGATTTAACACCCACACAGAAAATGGCTGCCACCAGACAGTTACCAGTGAGAAAGGGTGATGAGTGACAAACAGCAAACCTTGTCTGTTTCGAATGGAATGGGGCAATTAGTTTGCTATTTTAAATTGACGCAAATCGCTTCCATTGATTTGTTGAGATAGGGAGGCAGGGACAAGTTAGCAAAAATAGACCCTCTTCAGGTAGGCACTGAAAACCAGAAAGGGAATGGACCATAAATGGGGGTTGCTTTAAAAATCCCTTGTTTTTCTTTACAATAATTTGATCTCCCCCACCCTGACAATGAAAAAGCTGAACAGCTGCATGGTCTGTATGAATTTCTGCTTTTGTGCTTGAACTATGTTCAAATCTGAATCTCACGAAAGACACTGGGAAATTTGTTAAGCAACTGAAGAAGAGTGGGATGCACACTGCACACAAAGGTCCTTCACAAACGCATATCCGATTTATGGAATCTGCTGCCACCAGCCACAGCTTGACTATTTGGGGGCTGCTTTTGGCTATTAGCCACAGCAAGAGAGCTCAGAGCAGTGTGTAACTGCGAAGGAACGCAGTACTGCTTTCACACCTCCCTTGCGAACATCTTAGGGGCTTCTGATGGGCCCCGGTGGCAACCAGGAAGGTGGACTTCATAAAAGATGAAGAAGAGCCCCGCTGAACTAGTCCAAAGCCCTAAATAGGCTGGCATCCTGTTTCCCACAGCTGCCAGCCAGACGCCTCTGGGAGCCCACAAGCCAGGCACGAGCAGCCCATATCTGCCAACGACGGGCATTCAGTGGCACAGTGCCTCTGCTCCTGGAGGCTACCCAGAGCAACGGGGTCTGCTTTGGAAGTGGTTCCCACACACAGTCAGCCCAACACGGTGTTCGATCAGGGCTGCACAGCTTTCATAAGGTGACCACTATCCATGCCATTTTCTGGCTGCTCAAGCAAAACACCTTTTCCATGGAGAGATGCACACGCGATTTCAATCGGCTGCAGCTTTTTGCAAACCAGGAAGAGACGAGCAGGAGTTACACAGGTACACTCGTAGCTGCTTTAGCTACTATTTGGATGACTCGTGTAGGTTTGCAATGATATCATTGGATCAGAGTTCAACAATTCTGTTCTTCCCTTGATTAGTTTGGTTGTGATAGGAAGTCACCATG